CCTCCAAACGCACCTTCCGCGCCTCCCCCACCCTCATCTCCGCCACGCGCCGCCTCCTCGCCACTGCCCTCCTCGACGACCCCGCCAACGCCTACTTCGCCCTCCTCTCCCAGCACTGCGTTCCTCTCCACTCCTTCACCTACACCTACCACTCCCTCCTCGTCTCCCCCACCTTCGACTCCTCCGATCCCGAATCCTCCCGCCTCGGCATCCGCCTCAAGTACAAATCTTTCATCGAAATCCTCTCCCACGCTCCCAGGCTCTGGAAACGCTACTCCTCCCGCGGCCGCTACGCCTTGATGCCCGAAGTCCCCTTCGAAAAGTTCCGTGTCGGCTCCCAATTCTTCGCCCTCACGCGCCGCCACGCTCTCCTCGTCGTCAAGGACCGAACCCTCTGGAGGAAATTCAAGATCCCCTGTTACCGCGACGACGAATGCTACCCCGAGGAGCATTACTTTCCCACGCTCTTGTCCATGGCAGATCCTGATGGCTGCACCAAATACACGCTCACCAGAGTTAATTGGACCGGCACCGTCAACGGTCACCCCTATACTTACCGGCCTTCGGAAGTCTCGTCGGAACTAATTCTCCGGCTCCGCCAGTCCAATAATTCTGAGTCTTACCTATTCGCCAGGAAATTCACCCCGGATTGCTTGGAACCGTTGATGCGCATTGCCAAATCTGTCATCTTCAAGAATTGAAATTTCAAGCACGGTACGTTTTTTTTTTCTTTCCTCGTGTTATTTTATTTTATTTTAGTTCTTGTGATTTATCAGAGTTGTCTGCACTTAGCCATAGATACAATGAGTTGGGGTTTGTCTGTGTTATTACAGTCAAAATGATTGGATCTTTGTTGCTGGAGGGTGGGTGTTTCCATCTTCAGCTTTATATATTGAATCTGGGTTTGATGCTTGTGTTATGTGCTTTTCTTACGTTTACAGCATCAAAGTGCTGCATGATGATATTTCTAGGGGTTTAAAGTTGAGAATTACTTTTTGTGAATTTTCAATGCACAAAATGAAGGAGGAATAATTTGTTGCTATGATAGTAAAAGTAATTTTGTTATCTCTCAACTGAAATCTGAACATGTTTAGTCCTTTGGTGAAATAAGGAGGAGGCACTGATGTACATTTTGATGGGACCTCCTCAAGTTGCTTTTCAGTAGGTTCATTAGTGCTTGCATGGAATGGGATTCTCTCGCTCTTTATGGAGAGTATGTTGCTTTTTGCATTTGCGGTGTTCATGCCCTTGCTGCTTTGTGATGGGAAAAAGGTTTATGACATCTACTTCTTGTGTTCTGAATGTCAAAATCATGGTGGTGCTAGAGTAGTTAGTTGCCGCGTTTAGTAAGGATAGGGACTCCTTATCTTTTGCATTGTTGTGAATTTGGATCTGGTTGTGAATGCATACACTTAATTCATAGGTAATGTATAAGTATTTCTACCTAATTCACATTCACACAGTTAATATATGAATACGTGGATGAGTCTAATCTGAAGTGTTATGTAGGCATTTCCTAGATTCTAATCGGCCTGTTGCATTTTTTTGTTATTAATTTGGTTTGTCATGCACAAAATACGGATGCTTGTCGAGGCTATTGTGGGTGGATTTTTTTTTTATGAATTTCCTCATTTGTTTTTTCTGTCGTGATAATCTTGTTCAACCAAATTTTATTCTAGCAGGTGGAAAAGGTCAATGAAGAGATTTATGAAAAGATCATATTGCTTTGGCTATGGCTTGATGGTGGTGTATGGTTTGAAGAGGCACGTATAGCCCACATCCTATATACCCTAAGCTTTCAAATTACGAGTCTTGGGACTGCAAAAATGAGGGAATCAGATCAAAATAGAAAGAGCCAAGAAACAGGTAAACACCTGCGAGAGTTGAAAAAGAAAGGCGGGTGCCCTAGTCAAGTGTATTTAGCATGGTGCAAGTGCTCAAGTAATTGCGAATTTGTCATAGAAAATCATGTAGGTAGTTTTTCCTTTTGTGGGTCGGTTTTGTACATAGAGTTGTGTAAAACATTGTTTCAAAGCTCTACAGTGTTACTACTTTTCAAAAGAAAAAAAGAAAAAGAAAGAGCTGTTGTCTAAACGTGAGGCAACAGTGACTGCAATTATAACAGGAAAAAAAATTCTGTCCATATTTGGCCAATTTCTTGCTTCCCCATTCTCGATTCGATCCCTTTGGAACCTTGCTATTTCCACCGCTCTGTTTGTTCATTCCGTTTGACCTCTTTCATTTGCTTTTTGTGCCCTTCTGTGGAAAGTGTCATATAGTTGCTTTACTCTCATTCTGCTACATAAATGCTTCTTGAAAGCAAAAGAAATAAATATTCTTTTAGAATTTGTGTGAAGCAGTCACGGGATCAGTTTCTTGCTCTGTTGTTATACTTGTCTATGCTTTACCAAGATTGGACTTTCATTTAAACATTTTTTTCATCGGAGGAGTCGGTGGCAGTATAATAATTGTTAATAGTTATGAACTGTTCAAATTCATATATTATTATATTGTTGATGATCATGTTCTCATAGATATGCATAAATGGCTTCTATAACCCGCGACAAAATTGAAACTTGTCGGTGCTGCTGGTTCTATTCGCTTTCTCAATAAAAATGGACCCCAGAGGACAGGAAAGTCGCAAACTTCTGATGTGGGTGGGACCACGCCTCACGTAGAGACAGTTGGCTTCCATTTAGTTATCTAGACACGTTGTACACAGACAAGAGATCAACTTCTAGTTTGTATCTCTGTGAATTCACTGGGATTTCCTTTTTATTTTTAACCTCATTCTGAAACCTGACAAAAATATAGTAAGTTATTTTGTTATTTTAGGATGTCGGTGTTGATTAATCCTGTGAACTATTTTAAGGTGTTTTCATTTACTCAATACAGTATATAATATGATTGAACCCCCCTCTGTACAGCAACATTTGAACTGTAACTTTCATAGAAAAAGTAAGAAACAATTATTCATTTTATAATAATTGATTACTTTAATAAGCTGATGCTCTTCTAAGTTATTTGTTGATAGGGGAGGAACCTTAATAGCATCAAAGAGGAAGTTAGTAAGTTGTTAGCTTACCACCAAATTATGGTTGAAAAATTAAGCATTATTCAATGTTGTTTATATCTAAATTAAAGAGTTGGTAGGGACTGTGCTAGCTCGAGGAAAAGGAACTCAAATTAGTTGGCCTGGTTGCTTAGGATTTCTTTCAACATTACATTATAGTCATATATTAAAAGAGGGTTAAAGAATGATCTCTCACCTTTTTGTCGTGTTTGGCTACTTCCCTTGTGCTCAAAGAAATGTATGACTCTGTCAGATGCACATGTGATCTTCATCATCCTGGTAACAGAGAAGCAAACAATCTACAATTGTGCATTTAATCATTAGTCCTTTTGACAGTTGACAATTCTGCTTTTCTAGTTTTGACAATTTTCAATTATTGAAAAAGGATTCTTAACAACAACACATTAATATAAAATATTCACATTATTTAGTACACTTGGTATGTTTTTTTTTTTTTTTTACTTAAAAGCATGTGTTAAAATATATATTACTACTGTTCAATAAATAGTGTAAATAACCGATTGGCATTTAGAAATTTTTTGAATATTTTCCATTCACATCACGATTAATTTAAGATGAGTTAAGTGTATAGTATCTGAACTAACTCTTCGTTTTAGACTACAGGTAAAGAAAAAAAAATTGATGCGTAAATTATTGATAGAAAAATGTCTTGGAGAAACATAACTTCAATAGTTTTGGCCAGTAGATATGCTTTCTAAATTCCAACTCGGAAAACATGTGTCCCATAGTGTTTGTACGATTGGATCTAATCATTATTTGGATATTTAAGATGACCTTTCTTTTTATTTGGTATATAATACATTATTTTATATTTGCATAACATCAGGAAAATAAACAAAAACATAAAATATTTATTCTTTTTTATCCTTTTCAACTTACACAGGGTTTTCTCCCGGGCATAGTCTGTTTTCCTGTGCTACGCAATTATTGTAGTTGATAAATAATGCAAATACAAGTTAATATTTTAAAATCTTATATATATATATATATATATAAATTAATTTTTGTGTTCAAATCATTATAATCTCATCCATACATTTTCATGGATCCAAGTTTCATAAATTTTCTAGAATTAAATGTCTAACTCTTACTCCAATTGACCACATCTCCTCTCATAAATCACAAACATCAATATCACAAATATTTGACTCTATTTTTAGAAGATATTTGCGTTAAATTACAATTGTCATATTATATGCACTATGGTGTTACTACATCAAAATTACAACCTAACATTTTATCAGGTGAGTGTAATATCAATAGAATATGAATAATTTCTTTTGTAATCTTAATTTCAATATACAATCTAAACATCTTAACATAGCATTTCTTTCTTCGTCCGTTAATAAGTGGTATTAAATTATATGTATCCCGCTACTTACAAATACTTGTATAAAGTATTAATTTATTATTCGTAGCAAATTTTATTCACATATACTTACGAATATTTTTTTCATTCTTACATGTCATTAGTTTAAATTATTTTTCAAAAGGTCTTCACTTTCTAATTTTTATTTTGTTTGACTTGTTGGGAGGGAGTTTGTTTTTATATTTTTTTCTACAGCAGTGGTTTTGTTTTGGTCCCTCAAAATTTTGTTTTTGTTTTTCTTTTTTCATAAGATTTTTTTTCTGTTGAACTTTGGGACGAGAGTTTAACTAAGATGTTAATATCCATAATGTTGTCTAAAATGAGTTAAAAAATATTTTAAAAATTATTTTTTTAAACTTAAAAAAACTCTCAACTCGCATTGTAAAAGGTGTCAACACATATAACTAGGGGTAGACATAGTTCATCAAACTGAACTTGAACTACAGTTAACTGTATTATTTTATACTTAAAAAAACTAAATTGTTTTTACTAAAAACTAATTAAATTATTTTACAGTTCAGATTAAAAAAACTGAAACTTAATAATTTTAGTATGGTTAACTAGTTAACTAGTTAACACATGCGTCTCTTCACCCTTTCTCCATCAGAATCTCTCTCTTTATCACCACTGCGCCTCACACATATTTTGCCAAGGTCTGTTGCCCTCTTCCTTCCACCGCTGCCCATTCCGCCGTTGCCCATCCCACCGTCGCCCATCCCGCCATCGCCCATCTCCCTCGATTAGCCCTTCTAGGGTTTCCTCATCGGCTCTCTTTTTGCTCCAGCGTCAATTTACATTAAATAGACACCTTTGGCTTCTTACCACAAAACGCTCTCAAGGTTTCCAAGCACGTTAGCTTCGATACCCCTCAAAAGCCCAACTTAGTCATCGCTTTCTTCAACAGAAATGGATTCACCCACGCTCACATCAACAACATCATCAAAAGCATACCCAACATACTCATGCAACACTAACGAGAGGCTTTCGCCAAAGTTCCAATTTTTACGCTCAAAAGGTGCTTCTGCTTCTAATATCGTTCGCCTCGTTAATAGGTGCCCCATAATCCTCGTATCCAGCTTCAAGAACAACGTGATCCCCTCCTTTGAATTGGTGAGAAGGTTCCTTCAATCTGACCAGAAAACCATTGATTGTGTTTTCTGTAGTAGACCTTTCCTTCGATATAACGTTGAAGCGCAGAATGTGGACATGTTGCTTGATGTTGGAGTCAAGGACTCCGGCATCAGCTATTTGTTCAAAGGGAGGCCCTCTATATTCTTGTCTACTAACTTGAGGGAGACTATTGATGAAGTTAAGGAAATGGGGTTCGACCCATCCAAGATAACTTTCGTCATTGCCTTGCACGTCAAATGGGATCTGTCGAAATCGTGGTGGGATACGAAAGTTGATGCCTTTGAGATGTGGGGTTGGTCTGAGGAAATGGTCTGAGAAAATTCCTTTGAGATGTGGGACACGAAAGTTATTAGATTGAAGAGTTTTGTGAGTTGTTTCTGCACCGCTAGTTCGAAGTCGCATAAATTGGCCACTACATTTGTTTGTTTCCATTACTGAACGTGAAAGGAAAACATATGAAGAAGAGTGTTTTTGATGCAAACTGAACTGTAGTGCAGTATGAGTGAACTAAAAAAATAGTTCAGTTCAGTTACTCTGAACTATTTTTTAGTTCAGTGCAGTTTTGTTGAAATAGTTTATAGTTATCTATAGATTTTAATAGTGCAGTACACTATAGGGCAGTTTGACCACCCCTACATATAACGAATTTTTACTGCCTAGTGAAAACTTTGCTCATCTAACTACTATAGTATTTGCCTAACAACTAATCAACTAGAACATTTACTTAGTGACCGAAATTCCTACATTTTCAATTAATTGAATTTCGTTCACCAATATTTGGTTCATTAAATGAATTTGGCCCACCCAAGAACTTTGCATAGTTTATAAATTTTTCATAATATAATTATGGTTCAATGGTTTAAATTGATATTTTTCTTCATTTCTTTTGCATAATATGTAGGGATAGCAAAAAAATCCGCGGACACGGGTATCGGCGGATAAAATCTGCGGCGGGTAGTTACTATCTATGGATATTTACTATCCGCGAGTAACAGGTAGCGGGTATTTTAATACCCACTTCTAAACGGGTCGGATACGGGTAGTATACTACCCGATCCGCGGGTATCCGTTACCCACAAAAAATAATAAAAAATTAATAATTTATATATTTTTTAATTAAATTTAATGAAAAATAAAATAAACTATATTTTATTAAGTTAAATTTAATTAAAATTAAATTTTAATTTATATTTAATTTATATTATATTATATTATATATTTTTTTTGTAATTTTATTTTAAAATGTATAAAATATTTTTTTTGTAGATATCTCCGGGTATCCGCGGACTTTAAAATATCCGTGGATATTTTCTAAACGAATATCCGTGCGGGTAGCGGATCGGGTAGCGGATACAATTTTATTCAACGAATTAGATTGCACGTAGACACTATCCGTAATCGACCCAACCCATTAATAACATGAGTGTTTTGTCTAAATAACAACAATTTAAATCGATTTAATTCAATTTAAATGTTTTTCACTACTTAACATACAATAAATCTCTGATTTTGAATTTACTAATTTGAATCAAACAATTTCATTTCAAATTCAAACATTTATATTCAAATAACACACAAATTCTAAAAAAAAATTATTGTGACCACTTCAGTTTCATATCTAGATTGTTTGTCCTAAAATAATATAAAAAAACTTAATTAGCTTTCCTTACTTACTAAAGCTTGTTTAAATTTCTAACTACTCTTATCCTACCGAAAAGATTTAATCATTGATTTCAGAATATCCTTATAATTTTGGACTAACAAATATTCATTTTTTTCCTAAAAGAAACACGAGCAAGACCTTTAGTTCCCCATTCATGAAAAACCATCCAAAACCAACCCAAAAAAAGGGACAAAATTTTTTTACTCTTAAAATAAATTTTGAGGCATAAACTTGTTATGTTTTCACTAATATTCTTAAGATAGGTTTTGATCTACTATAGGATGATCAAATTCTTCAAAAATTTAAAAATGAGAGACAAAGCAAAGATTTTTTTTTTCAGAGAAATTATGATTTTTCTAAAATAAGATTTAAATAATTAGTTTTTTTAATATACAAACTTTATACTTAAATAATAAAATATTCAATTTTATATCGCTTCTGCTCTTGAGTAATTTACTACGTATTTACACGTTTTATAATCAATTAGACTCAAAACCAAAATAATTAATTAAGTTTATATTTTAAAATTAATCAAATTAATCCAAACATATAAATAATCTTCACTACCATTACTTATTAGTTTGTCATTATGTCTTTGTCATTGTTATGGTGACAATTACTAAGAAAATTGTTGTACTTCTAGTACCCTCCATGAATGTTACTATCAATGTCATCTATCTCAACCAAGAAGATTTTAAAATGAAATTGCGATTTATCACAGAATCACTATTTGTATATATACATAATTCAAATATAAAAATTATGCTTCTAAAACAAATTTACCTTTTAGAAACTTAAACTAAAAATAATAAAACTACAATTTCAATTAATCCTAACTATGACAATGTGTATTGTAACATCCCAAAAATATAGTATGAAACTACATTCAGGAGTCAATATATAATAATATGATAAAACAGTTACTAGAGAATAAAGTTGATCTTACCGTCATAACAAAATAACCATAAAATTTAAACTTTACAATACTCCTATTCTACTGCAAACTAAATGCATAACCGAACGGTTTTATAAAGAGAACATTCTAACCGAACGGTTAATACAAAACTACGAACATCATCTAAGGGGAATTCTAAATAGATGGACCCGCCTCTTCCAAAGCCTGCTTCACCGAGCACTCCTCTATTTCTACTCACACCCAAAGGTGATCATTGCAAAAGAAGAACCGAACAAAAAACATGAACAAAACAGGAAATAAAGGTAAACTAATGTAATTTAATTACATACTCATACAGACATTTTTTTTTTAAGTTCAAACAAAACAGAACTTGAAAATTTTAACATACCAAGCCGAGTACAAATAAGCATAAACCGAACACAAAAATTCATGCATATATCGCACACAATAATTCACGCATAAACCGAATACCTGACTTGACCATCCGGATTGTATGAATGTGTAGCTATGACGTTTTTGCACCCGGGTGATGTAGTAGCTGGGATGCCTTCAACAACTATCATCCGAGGTTAGTTCGTTTTACCTCACCAAAGGTTACTTTTATAAACCAAGACCTCCCGCCATTCTCGCACATGACTTACTCCTCTCTACTTGAGAATGCGTAATCACAGAATATCGGGATGAACGCCAGCTTAACACGATATCTACATTCATACTTTACAATTCAATAACCATTCATGAGACATTCCGCCTTGGAATTCTCTTCCACATTACTTACAACATAATCATCATCATTCAACATGTAATTTCATACAATAATCATATCCTCACATAAAAGACCGAGAGCCCTGTGAACGTTGAAGACCGAATAGTTTCTAACTATTCATAAAACAGGACTGAACGGTCTGTAATAGATAAAACTGAACACTATAGAAGACCGAATACTTATAGGTTAGACCGACCACTAATAGCTTAGACCGAATACTTATGGATGACCGAGCGATATTACTATATCGAACTTAGTACATGATCGGACACTATTAAGACCGAGTGTTAGTGCATGACTGAACACTATTAAGACCGAGTGTGAGTTCATGACCGAACACTATTAAGACCGAGTGTCAGTTCATGACCGAACACTATTAAGACCGAGTATTAGTGCATGACCGAACACTATTAAGACCGAGTGTCAGTTCATGACCGAACTCTATTAAGACCGAGCACTATTACAACCGGATACTACTGAGGAGGAGTTCTAGTACGTGACCGAGTACAACTAAGACCGAGCGCTAATACTGGCATAAATGCTAGTACAAGACCGAGCGCTATACTAGAAGACCCACCCTTCTAAGACCGAACGGTCATGAACTGGTAGGACTCTAAGGAGACCGAATCCAGTTAAGAACCCAGTACAAAACAAAATCGAGCGGTCAACAATAACCACTCGTCGTTCTACATAATTCTGCAGAACTTCTACAGAATTATGAACCACACCTAACTTAACCAAATCAGAATATCTTAACCAACTTTTAATCCTAAATTCTCGAATTATAATTCAGTTCAACCTATCCAAATATAATTAAAATTGTATAACATAAATCAAAAGAATCCCATGACAGATTTCACCTATTCACATCCTTAGATCAGACGAGACCAAACACTTTCTAGCCAGAAACCTAATCCGTTCACAAGTCTCGGTCATACACAAAATTTTCATATAACTCAGTCAAACATACAATTATTCATACATGCAAACATACAAACAGGAATTTCACACACAGAAAACGTAATTAAATTACTAGCTTCCCTTACCTCGAATAAACCAGCTAAGTTCTATGCTTTCAAAGTCTTGATTAACTCGCAAGTAGCTTCTACGACAACCTACCAATATCTGATTGGTGAAAAGATACCAACTAGAGGATCAAAGAAAGAAAAACAGATTTAGAGAAGGAGTTGATGATCACATGCAAGTTGAACAAAGCTTGCATGTCAAGGAAATTGCAGAAATTTCAAGAATCGAAGGAGTTAAACTTACCCACTCGAAAACAACAACTTGTTCGGTTTAGACGAAAGAACTTGACACCAGAAATACTTAAACGCTGCCTGAATGATGATCGGAAGAAGAAAAAGTTGAGAATTTATAGAGAGAAGGAGGAGAATTTTAGAGAGATGAAGGAGAAAAGAAGATTTATGAAGGTTGAAGAAAGAGAGAGTGCATGCAGAAAGCGACACCAGATTTTAAAACTTTCACTTATATACCACCGTCAAAACTTGATCGACCACTCAACTACGTACATCTGTCTTTCACTTTCTGAATTTCTAATTCCTTACACCTCCATCTGGCTTCCATTCTCTTCCATTTTAATGGTCCTGACATATATTGTATCTTTTATTAATATAAAACATGAAATCCTCATCACTTCAATCTTAAAATTAAACTTAACTTCATCACCATATTGTTCAAGCCCATCATAGTCCCTCAGCACGGGTTTTGGGCCGGAACAATAATGTTAGGTCTTAATGTTTTGTTTCATTGTGTCGTGTCATTTCCGTTCTAGCTTCTCAGCTTCAACTTCAAAATGAAGCACAACGTTGCTACCCCCATTGAACTTATATGCATCATTTGCACCCAAGAAAAAACCAATTTCTTTAATTCAATTTTGTATAAAGTTCTGTGTACTTTTATTAATGTCGAAGAATACAATCCTATTTCCTTTCGAATGAAAGACATTTACA